TGGTCCTGGTGCTTCCCTGCATTTCAGTAGCTTCAAGGCGTTCAGGACTTCGACTTTTGTTGGAGGGCCTGTGTTCACTGGTAGTTCTGTGGCTGGGCTGTAGGTGGTATTTCTGGATGAAGTGCAGGTGGTGGTGGTGGTGGTCGATTCAAGAGCGTTTTGAAGTGGTCGGCCCATTGTTTCCTTTGTTTCTCTTCTTCGGTAATTAGATTCACTTCATCATCTTTTATTGGTTTCATGTGTGTTGATCTCTCCCCTCCCAGTTAGTAACCTGGTTATTTGATACAATGTTGTCAGATCTCTGTCTCTCCTACCTACAGCCTGTTCTGCCTCACTTACCAATGTGTCATGGAAGTGTGTTTTGTCTCTGCGTGGACTATTCTTCACTTCTTTGTCCAGTGTAGTGTTTTATAGGTTGTATTCAGTTCTCTTGTTGTTGTGCATCCTTGCACTGGTTTATCTTCTGCTTCACCATCTTCCTTTCCCTGCTCTATCAGCTTCCATGTGTCCATCGAGATTCATTCCACTCCTTATCTTCTTTCTTCTTCCTTCCTAATACGGCTGTGCAGGTTTCTTACCACATAGCTTTCAAGGAGTTCCAGTGTTCTTCCACACAGGTTTCTTCAGGGATGTTACTGGATATCTCCCATTTAGTCTTGATGGCTGCCGTGAAGATTTTCTTTGTAATTTCGTCCTTCAGTTTCCGAGTGTTGTACTTGAACTGTGTGTGGTCTGTTACCAGCTTCCTTGAAGTCTTTCAACTTGATTTTGAAGGTAGGTAGGTTGGTTGCACTAGATAGTGAGTGGTGTGAACCTACATCTGCTCCACTTCTTGATCTGATCCTGTATCCAGTAGGCTGCGTTTCCCCTTTCTTCATATTGAGATGAAGTCGACTGGATTTTTAGTGTAGTGCGTCCTGGTGTCTGGTGAAATCGAATCCATGTCGCTCACTTTGTGGATATCCTTGTGCCTGAACACACTGCCTCGCCTCCAATCACCAAATCGTTGAATGCACAGAATTCTGCAAACAATTCTCCATTCTCGTTCATCACCTCACCTAGCGCTTCTTGGCCGATGGTTAGTTCTCTTCCTGTGTTTTCCCCTCCCAGTTTGGCATTCATGTCACCCTGCCCATTAGAATGGACTTTGATATCGCCAACTGAGGTGGTGTCTTGTCCAGTGTTGATTACAGTTGTCTGTAGAATTCCTCCTTTTTCTCTTGCTGTGCATTATTTGTAGGTGCGTAGCGTAGCACTGTATGATTGTGACCTTCCTTCCTTCCTTCTGAGTTGAACATTGCTGTTATGATCCTGGAGTAGATTGGTTTCCACTGCATGAGGGACAGCCTTCGATGCTGTTGGGGACATCATGATAGCCACTCCGAAACTCAGTGTGCTTGTGGTTGTCGTCTGTGTGACAATGTCGGAGTAGATTATTGATTGTCCAGTTGACAGTTTGGAGAATTCACTTCCATTCCATCTGCTTTCGCAAATTCCAAGCACTTGAATGTGATACCTCGTTATCTCGTTTGCAATCTGGGCTGCATTGCTGGGTTCAAACATGGTTGCCGACATTCCATGTCCCCACGTTTACTTTCGCTTTCATCGAGAAGACGAAGACACATTGGCCAATTAGCTTCCCAGAGGGTTTCACCAACTGGCATGATTTTGCCTCTCCGATTCCAGCGAGGAATAATTTTGTTATTATTTTTTATATTTCGTTTGTGCTTTGAAGTTTCTTTAGTGGTTGGATTTGTTTTAGGGGGTAGGGTTGGTAGCCCTATGCCCAGCCTTCCCAGTTTATCCGAGCTTAGGGTCGGTTAGTAACTAGTGAACTAGTTAACCAGGCGATGATAAACAGAAAATACTGCGACTTACGGTGAAATTAAAAGTTAAATTTGTATTTGTAGTTCACAGGGCAGTTTTAAAATTTCGTAGGTAATATTTTGGAAAGTTTGTAAGCTGATCAAAGATTGAGAAGATATTAGTCAAAATGCAGATTTTGGGGTAAGCAGGATGAAAGGGTAGGGACTTGACATTCAGTATTTTTTACCTAATTCTTTACAGCGGAATGAAAACAGAAGCGAGAAATGTGTACAAGTGTAATGGAAAATAAAGCCAGTTATATGCCGGAAATACCGTTTTTGCTTAGAGTAAAACAGAAAGTTCCTTATTTGCCTCCTGTACAATACAATATTCTTCACCAATTTATTCAGTCTTGATGGCCTTTCGCAGACAGTACTTATTGAGTTTCGTACGTTAGTTGTCTAGATCATCTTCAGCTCATAAGTTCAGTACGAGAATCCGTTACATGGCATGAATTTTTTAGATTTACTGTCCTCGAACAACTTGTATACACGTGTGCTAACTGTTTTACCTGGAAACGATCTCGTCATTTCGTAGCAATAATTCATTCTGCCTAATGAGAAATACTGCTCAACTGAAGAATACTTTACTTCATTATGAATTTCAGAGTTTATGACGGGTTTACATCCAAATCACTATATACATTATTTGTAGTAATTTTGATTTTTTTCAAACCTTCCATGATAAAGACAACTTTACTGATTTGATTATCTTTATTAAACATGGTTTTCCCAGTAAACCTTCTTGAATTCTTTCTCCAAACCGAGTCCTTATTAAGTTACAAGTTGTTATTCACTGTAATGATGCCATATAGTTCTCAATAGTTCTGCTACTGATATCGATGGGCCTGAAGAAAAATGGTTGTTTACTTCACTTAGACTTTAAACCCAACTTGATCTATAGAAGAAGCATTCTGTAACTAAAGACAACCAAACAATAGTTATTTATTCAGATTGTGAGATGCTCCATTTTATCCAGTATATAGTATTTGCTGGATCGTGTCTCGTTAACACTTTATTTCTCAAAACCATGTAAGAGTAAGATACTAAATAAATAACTCTAATGTAGAATCGCATCCTACTACAGTGTACAAATTCTATGCTTATACTAATAATTCATTTTAACCTTCAGATAATCCCTGCGGAAAGTTCACCTTCGAAGAAGTTTTGCTGAATACTTAAAATGCTGTGTGACTAAATATAGTCCTAGTTTCTTTTTTCAAATAACTGCACATTTCTGAACCGACAGAAAAGTGTTCCCATTCACACTAAAGGCGTTTCTAAATATTTCGCTTACTGTTCTAGAGTTTTTCGGGGAATTCTCACTCCCTTGTTTTTGTTTTCTAAATTTTACAGCAACACTGAGAGCTGCACAAGCATGCGATGTAGCAATGTTAGTACCGAAAGGGATAGATTCATTTCCGTTGAGTAAAGGCATTCAAATGACTGGAAACGTTGATGTTTGGTGTATTGTACATGATGGTGGTCTGCTATTGCTGACGTCATATCTTCTTATGCGTAATCGTGTATGGCGTAAATGTCACTTACGCGTCTTTGTTGTTGCCAATGAAGATGACGATACCGTGAACCTAAAAAAAGATATGACCAAATTCATGTATGACCTGAGGATTCATGCTTCTGTGGATGTTGTAGCTATGGTACGTTAATTTTATTGTTGTGCTGTGTATACTTATTTTTAAAGATGTGATGTGCTTACTTCCTGTGGTCCTAAGTCAGCTAAATTTGCAGCTTGAATGGTTGTATCTGTAAACGTACGATTAGATTTTGAATTTTGATGCGTTGTTTACTTTTTTAACCTACTGTCGAAAGGTAATCTGTAATATGAAGAAACAACTGTTTTACTTAAGTTCATATCCTCAGGTTGTCCAACTACTGTTGAATTTCAACAAAAATTTCCGATTCATTTGCATCAAATCTGTTATTCAAATAGTGACAGAAAACTCATTTTATGACTTCCACATTTCTGTTTCTTGACTTAAATTTTTGATTTCAATATTTTCCTCCTGGTATTTTTCATGCATCATAACTGGATCGGAAATCAATGTTGTTAGGAGCTTGTTTCAGTTTATTCTTCATGCTACTATCAAAGGAATAAGTAGTGTGAATATATGCAGAACCTTTTATGAATCACAAATGGGTGAACATAGTCATTGTGCATGACATTGAAGTTTTTACTGAATGATTGAGAAAAGCTTGCAAATGGAAGAGTGCGAGAAACACTAAGAACACTTACTGGTTAAATTATTAATCACCTTCATACACTTGGTTTCCTTAATGAGTTTTATAAATGCAATGTGAACCATTTTGAGCATAAAATATTTTATGTCAGTATTTTCATCATCGGAATAAAGTGAATAATTACTATAACGCATATTAACATACCTCATATGGAACGTCTTAGATTACCATTTAATATTTGGAAGGTCAGCAAAAACAACAAACTTCGGAATAAAAAGAGGTTATAGTAATAAAATTCAGTCAAAGTAAATATATTTTAGTGTTATTGCTTGTATTACACCGTCGTTGATAGGACCGAATTGATCAGCCTCTGTTGGCATATGGGCTCCTATGCGAATACCTCGATATGGCCTGTCTTTTAACTATGTTTAGTAATGATGGCACAAGAAGTGGCTATCGTGGCTCGGTGGTGTAGTGGATAACGCTCTGGCGTTTTAAGCGATCGCTCCCGAGTCCGAGTCCCAAATAGGACGAAATGCGCATCCTGGATTCCACTGCTAGCCACTGCCCATCATTACTAAAGTAAATATATGTTAATATGAATGTTAAATTCGGAAATTGTGGTAGAATGTAATCCCATTTTAGATTTCTCTATTTCACATAAAACCCAGTATTTTTTATTATTATTATTAGTCCCTTGGGTTCCTAGTGGAACATAGGGCTTCAGTAGCACGCCTCCAGTGACCTCTGTTCTCTGAGATCTTTTGAACCTGGTTCCACGACAGCCCACAACCTCTCATTTCCTCCTCGCACGACCTCCTCCATGTCACCCTCGGACGTCCAACTCGTCGCTTCCCATGGGGATTCCACTCGAGGGCCTGACGCGTGATATCCTCAGTCGGCCTTCTCAGTGCATGGCCAATCCATCTCCACTTCTTCCTGCATATTTGTTGCGTGATAGGTTCTTGGTTGGTTCGTTCCCAGAGTTCCTTGTTGCTTATTTTTTCTGGCCATCTGATCTTCAGTAGCGAGCGTAAGCAGTTGTTGATGAATGTCTGCAGTTTATTGGAAATGCCTTTCGTGACGCGCCAAGTCTCTGAGCCATACAAGAGCACTGACTTGACGTTGGTGTTGAAAATCCGTATCTTGTTTCGCATGCTGAGTGCAGAAGATCTCCACACTGGTTTCAGGCTAATGAACGCCTGTCTTGCTTTTCCGATTCTGACTTTGACGTCCTCGTCCGTCCCGCCTGCAGTTGAGACAGTGCTTCCTAGATAAGTGAAGGAGGTTACTTCCTTCAAGTTTCTCCCGTTGATGGTGATTGGAGTTTGTTGTTGTTGTTGATGGTGGTGGTGCGGCATCTTCATCACTTCTGTATCCTCTATATTCACCTGAAGTCCCGTCTTAGCTGCCTCTTCTGACAACTTGTTAGTTTTTGCCTGTAGATCTTCAAGTTTATGTGACAGGCATAAGTCATCGGCGAAATCCAAGTCTTCTAGGTTCTTTTCCGTCGTCCAGTGTATCCCCCTCTTCTCGCTGCCTACTGTTTGCTGCATGATCCAGTCGACCACAATCAGGAATATCATGAGGGATAGTAGGCAGCCTTGTTTCACTCCTGTCTTCACTTCACTTCAAAGGCATCACTGAGCTTCCCATTGTGAATTACTCGGCTGGCATGTGGCATCTTCATATAGTTGTTGAATGAGGCTGATAAAGGTTTGCGGTACTCCGTAGTATTGAAGCAGTTTCCAAATTACTTCTCGGTCGACCCTGTCAAAGGCCTTTTAAAAGTCGATGAAGTTGAGGCAGAGAGCTGATTGCCATTCTATGCTCTGTTCTATGATGATACGAAGCGTTGCAATTTGGTCTGCACATGATTTGTACTTCCTGAAGCCTGCCTGTTCCAGTAATGCAGTATAACTTACTGGATGACCTTACGAGCATAAATTACTCCTCATAATCACATCAAAGTGTTATAAAGAGGAAGATAGAGAATATACCCGAATGAGTAAGATCAAATTAGAAGTAGAAGCGCATTGTGCAATCATATTAAAAATCATCCGAACAAAGTGATGAGTGTGGTAAATTACCATATTAATATCAAATGAAGTAACAAGGAGACATTAGTTTACCTTTACCCAGAAAACACGAATAAAATCTGTACTGACTTAGTTTCAAAACCTTCGTTTCAAATTCAGTTAAGTCTGTTTAAAGTCCACGTTCATATTTACCAATTATTATTTTTATCTCACAAGAGGAACAATCATCAGGGCTACCTAATGTAGTGTTATGAAGTCCTTAGTGCTTCGTAATGGCTAGAATGATGAAATCAGCGTAGAATCTTTCACACAAGTGGATCGGCTCAAGTTGCACAAATCACAGTAGTACACTAAGAACAGGTGGTTAGAGAGCGATATCAAAGTAGATAAAGTTGCGTTAAAAATTTTAAAAATATGAGGATAACGGTTAGTACGAATATGCAAGATTTATAAAATGTCAACGAGTGAATACATTTCCGCTATTGTGACGGATTTCAGCCATGCCACCAAGAGTCAGTCCCCAACCACTGTTTCCTTTCGTCTCGGTACCCCGCCCAGATAGTCTACATCTCTTCACACAACTCAGATTAACAGTAAGAGACTTCACACACTGGTGCTATGTCTTGATCTGGTCACCCTGAACCCTCTTCCAACCTAATCTAGTTTCCTCCAGGATGGCACATCGAGATAGGGAGTGGATGATCTGCATTCACAACACCTACCCAAGCCATCTCAGTCAACAGAGCTTCGTTCACAACCTCATCAATCGACTTGCCTGTCTTGCCTAGTACCCTTCGCCTGACCTAAACATTGCTCACACGGTGACTCCACCAAACACGAGTAATGCTACGAAGACACCTATGATCAAAACCCTGTAGTCGTTTCATGTCTTCTACTTCTAACGGCCGTGTCTGACAGCCGTAAAGCAGGACAGAACGAACTGTAGAGCAGTACACTTGGCCTTTAATAGATAGTTGGATATCTCACCAGTCAGTCGGTGCCAAAGATGACGCAATTTGGCAAATGTAAAATGGCCTTCTGTATCCGGTTTGAGATTTTGTCAACAACCAGCCTGTTCGGGTTGATGCAACTTCCGAATTGAATTGGTCGACATATTTCACTCCCTATCACTAAATGGGGGGGGGCGTTGCAGGCCTATAATGTCTCTATCAAATTCACTCACATGGTGCATTATTACTTCACTGTTAGTTGCTATAAGTCAGACGTCATGAATCCATGAAACTAGGTTTCATGCTTGTTGGTCAGTCGGTTGTTATTAGAATGGCTACTGAAAATACTACGTAACGATCCAGGTTGTCACATTTCACATCACAATACACAGCAAAAAGTTGGAGGATAGAAAAATAGGAAGAGAAAATGTAATCAAACAAAATTTTAGAAAGCCATGCAAAGAAAGGAAAACGTATATCCTAATGTTATGTTCCAATAGCAACGAATTCGTTTTCAATAAAAAATACTACATTTTAGTGGTTATCTCCAACGCTATTTCCATAGCAGAGTGGTTCAATAAAAATTTGTAATGTGTACCAGTGATAAAATATATCTGAATAGATAGCAATCCAAAAAATATGTGTTAATTTATGCAACTACTTGTGTTTCGGTGTAAGATCATTGGTAGTAAGCCGTGGACCAAAGTTTTATATTTGTTAGCACTTATGAATAAGGTGTCCGCAATCATTTAGAAACTGGTGTTGACTCAGGGGTTTGAACTGACCTCAATTAGTGTTGAATGAGGAGACCATCGGTAAGCTATGTAGGCCATGACTGACGTCCTCGAGCTCTAGATTATGTGGGAGTACTAATCATTTTGTTTATTTTTATGAATGTATCGCCAGATAGTACAAATCCGACGTACGCTCACCAATCGAAATTAGGTAACTTTTTACTAGACAAGATACAAGGTCTTGTACTTATATACACTCTAGTAGTTCTAGTAATACATAATTTAAAAACCGTTGTGTGGATTATTTTATGTCGTTAAATATTATATAATTGACAGTGGAAATGACAAAAGTTCTCTATTGATGAGCACTTAACTTCGTGTTATAACTTATTGTGCTGCATCTTTCACCTTTGTGATTTCCTTAAATTTAAACTGTATTCACCCGTACGTCCGACGAATAAGTTATGCATAGTAAAGTTTTCCCATAACAAATTATTTCTCCAATACTCATTTTGTACATCATGAAACCAGATGTTAGCAAACTCAATTGATATGAAGTTACATTGATAATCACTTAACAGTTTCTTATTTCTGGAGATCCATTGAGAGTTTTTTTCTTGGTATAGAGACTGTTCTAAGAAGCCTTCTAACTTGCGATAATGTGAAACTCTTAACCCGAGATCTAACTGTACAAATAAAACGTATAAGTGCTTACTTTACTAGCCAGTGTTATCACTCATGAGAAGACAACTCTCGGATTGAAGGGATCCACTTTACCTGAGAATACGAATTATCTTCACAGCTCCCAAAGAATAACTAAATAGCGTTTTAAAAGCAAAAGAGAAGTCACTTCGGAAATATTGCTGTATGAAGCAGAAAAAATAAGCGATGCACCTTAAGGCGGTAAAGGATGACACACACATTATTAGATGTTTCCAAAAATTTAATATGCATTCAGTTGAAATACTGCTCTGTTTACATTAAAAATGAACTTTTTAGCGGATGAACGGGATGTTTAATTGCAAAAAATGAATACGTTTCTGACTGTTTTCACTTGTATCTTGTTTTATCAAGCATTTTTATGGTATGGCTGAAAACTCCCATAGTTATTCGTTTTCAATAAGTTGATACTTAAGCTTCGGTAGTAAGTGAATTAAAGATTTTCATGATATTTGGCACATCAAATCAATTTCACTCCAGATGAAAACAGCGTACTTACATCTGCTTTCTATCGCTGTGTCAGAAGTTAACAACCTACTACCCCAGTTTTATCTATTTTATATAAGCAGTTTACTTTCCTCCAAATGGTTTCATCTTTTTAGCATTCTTTGTTTCCACAAGTTGAGTCATGAACTGATACATGTTTTGTTTGATTTTATGGTACATAATGTAGCTAAACTAAAAAGCCAACAGCGAATCCAGTTGCTTGTTTGTTTGTTATGATATTTGAATAAAAAAGACCTGATGTTCTTAAATGACAGTCACTATACGATGCGATTTATCATCAGTGTATTAGCGAACACTAAGATTCTCCCAATCTTTTCTGTTATTTTTTCTTGTATTTTGGTAGGTTGCTACATTTTCAACAGACAGATGTGATGCTTGACGAATAAGCAGTCGAGACTACTTTAGGTTGTTCAAACTTTGACATAGGTATTTAGAGTTGAGCGGTTTTCTACTGAATATGGGAGGCATTTTGCTGATTCCATCACCAGTAAATGGGTCACGAACTAGGACTACACAAATATCAGTTGCTTCGTGATTTCCAGGGACTATTTAATTGACTTCATTTTGTGCTGCTAACCACTTTCCAATTTTCTGTTTATTTCATCTAATTCTATAGAGTACAGCTGATATATCGGCTTATGTTGCTCAACGTACAGCTAGCATTGAACAACGACGAGCACTTCTAATGCAGATGAAAATATCCACTGTACAAGCACGTTGTGACCCTCAACTTATTGTCGATCAACATCGTAAACCAAGTTCAGCAGAAATATTCCAGTCAGATATTATCAAATCGAATTGTTCAGCTGAATCGCATAAACTGTTACCAGCTATATCAGTGACGTCAACTGAAAGCTCAGACCAATCGCCTGATCATGAAACAGTGAGTAGTTAGTTATTTTTAAAATCGCTTCGTGAATACGAGTGTAGTATGCATAAAGAAGAACTATAAGTGTCATCATCTTTGATGACACTGGACGTCCTCAGAAATCAGTATATAAAAGCAGACAGACTTACACTTTTCACTGTACACACGTAAAGTCAATGACTTCATATAATGAACTGACCGCCTTTAGATCTCCTATAAATTTCTACACCAAAAGGTTATTACTAATTGATGTAACTTTTAACTAGCTGTAAATTAATGGAGTAAGTTTATGACATAACCTAATCTCTATATCGTCTATTCAATGATTGCTCACAAGCAACTGTGATCAGCAATTGTAGCACTTTCCAATTGGTTAATATCTGTCTCTGAGTCATACTGTGAAACAAATTGCAGTGCATTTTTTTAATAGAAGACAATGATCTTTGTTGGCATGCGTATTATTAGCGTTAAAATCTTGGTTAATGATCATCTGACTGCAACTGCTCCAAATGCCTAGATAAGTAAAACCATCTATATACTCGATCGTATAATCATGCTGTGTGCAAACGTGTACTGCATTTCTCACATAGCAACAGAAGAAGTATTACACATCTTGACCTCCCAATGAAGAAAAAGGAGCTTCATTTTGATAATGGTCACTCGAAATAAATGCATAGCTATCACTAGCTTGCGTTGCAGGTAACAAAATAAATCGACTCCTTGAAACATTTGTCACAGTATAACAACAGCTGCTCTAATTTGACCTCTTTCCGTTCGATATTCCTGGATTTTAGGATTTCGAAAAACTCACTTCGCAACCAGTATAATATAGGTGTAATATAAGCCTAACTACGGAACCTAAACAATAACCACCAGTTTGAGAATTCGACCCATTATCAAAGTTTTTATAGTAGAAAAAAGGTTGCATTAAAGAAAGTTGAAAGGCAGAAAACGTGTAATATGAGTCCCCGGATTTTTGGTAATGTTGTTTTGCGACTGCCTCTCTATTGAAAGATACATGTTCGTTTAACTACCGTAATGCATTTATATATTATTGTGTAAAAGTTGTAAGTTGAGGGTGATTGTGTCAGTTTATTTTTTCTAGAAAAAAAGAGTACTGTATGCGTTTCAGTCGACTTGTTTTAGTTTAAAGGGTTAACTTATGCCAAGAAATGGTTCTCTGTAAATTATGCATACATGATGTGTGTGTTAGAATCAACTGTCCATAAATGATACTAAATATCCAACATTGAGATATTTTCACGTGGTACAAATTTTCGACAAGTGTTGTATCATCAGTTATTTTATACCAATTACAAATAAATACTAATCCATATAAAATTTCTTTTTACAATTGACTTCTGTGTTAGAATATAACCAATATTAGTAGTAATGACTCTGCTTCTAAAACATGTGTGAAGCCTAATCTGAAATCGGATACAGAATCCAACAATAAATCTGTTTCAAATCATTCACATCAATGTACTGTATCATTTGCAACTGGTTCAGTTATGACAGTCAATGAAAATGATAAGTCTACTAATTTAGAAGCGAATGATGATGTACAGGCTGAAATCAATCGTGATCTGAATGAATTCACCTTTTCACCATCTTATCCATTAACTAAGCTGGCTCAAAAAGCTGCAAAAGAAGCTACTGATACTAATCACAATAATAATGATAAAATGGGTCCTAAAGGTGAAACTCCGTCAAATAAAATGCATTCAGGAAAAATGTAAGTTTACATTTACTGTGTTTATAAATTTGTGCAGAATTAATGAGACAATAGGTTGGATAAGAAAATGATACTTGGTTGTCACACTTGTGGGATTCACTGTTCAGTAAACATTTTGGATTTTATTTGATGTGAATTTTGACTTGGTGAATAACATCATCTTGTGTATTTTGACTGCATTTCATGCCATCGATAAGCCATTGTAATAACCCTTTAATTTTCCAGTTCAATTATAAGGCGAGCAAAGGTAATCGTTAATAGGGATAATTCAAGTAATTCATTATGTATCCTCCCATAGTAATGAACTTAAAGAAAAAAGCTTACATCAAATTGCAAACCATTACTGTTACTCTGAAGAATGAAATATTCGCAGTCGAACTACCGTAATACATACAACGGTAATTCATCAGCGGAAAGTATGGTGCGAAATAGAAATATAAAATGTAATTATCGGTATTTTCCCCCTTTTCTAACATGAATCGGTTTGAGGTGTTTGCCGAGAATGTAGTAAATTGTAGTGTCATATTTTACGTGATGTTTATTGGTTATGTGAACTGTCTATCTCTGTACTAGACAATGGAAATCTACGTTTGAAATAAGGGAGAGGAGTTGTAGCAGTCGTAGATAATCCTGGCTGTTTCTCATTCGGCATGTTATATGATCAACTGGTGAATCGTTGATTGTCGTTTCAGTTTAAATTCGAGAAAAAATAATGAGCTTTTATGTCATATTTTCACCCTCTGAAATATCCTGGAACATAGGCATACTCACCGACGGCCAACGTTTGCCATATTTTATGGCCTGAAGGGGAAATTTGACTCTGTCGGCAGTGAGATGTTGTGGCAGTATCTGACTGTAAAAGGAGTACCGAGCAAGTGTACCACACTAATCAATGCTCTCTACTCGAACTCGTGCAACCGAGTAAGGGTTTATGGAGAGTTTTCATGTGAATTTATAACAACCAGTGGTATCCGCCAGGGATGTCTACTGTCACCGTTCTTGTTTAACTTCGTTATAGACAAACTAGTCAACATAGCCCTGTGTAAGTCTGACTTCACACAGATTAACCTACTTCCTGGAGGTCATCTGGTTGACTTGGAGTGTGCAAACGATATTGTCCTTCTACGTAAAGACGCTGACAAAATGCGAGGTCTTGTGAACGCGTTGAGCAGAAATCTGAGTATGTTTGATAAACGCTTCGCACGTGTCAGATATTAGATGATGCTCTAAGACACGTCTGCAGCGACTGCTGGCTTAATAAAAGGAAGTGAAATGGTGGAATATGTCAACCAATTCAATTCGGAAGTTGCATCAACCCGAACAGGCTGGTTGTTGACAAAATCTCAAACCGGATACAGAAGGCCATTTTACATTTGCCAAATTGCGTCATCTTTGGCACCGACTGACTGGTGAGATATCCAACTATCTATTAAAGGCCAAGTGTACTGCTCTACAGTTCGTTCTGTCCTGCTTTACGGCTGTCAGACACGGCCGTTAGAAGTAGAAGACATGAAACGACTACAGGGTTTTGATCATAGGTGTCTTCGTAGCATTACTCGTGTTTGGTGGAGTCACCGTGTGAGCAATGTTTAGGTCAGGCGAAGGGTACTAGGCAAGACAGGCAAGTCGATTGATGAGGTTGTGAACGAAGCTCTGTTGACTGAGATGGCTTGGGTAGGTGTTGTGAATGCAGATCATCCACTCCCTATCTCGATGTGCCATCCTGGAGGAAACTAGATTAGGTTGGAAGAGGGTTCAGGGTGACCAGATCAAGACATAGCACCAGTGTGTGAAGTCTCTTACTGTTAATCTGAGTTGTGTGAAGAGATGTAGACTATCTGGGCGGGGTACCGAGACGAAAGGAAACAGTGGTTGGGGACTGACTCTTGGTGGCATGGCTGAAAATCCGTCACAATAGCGGAAATGTATTCACTCGTTGACATCTCAGGCGGTACATCAGTTCAATTGGGGTTGCAGATACGCCTTGTTGGCGAGTGCCAGAAAGCATGAAATCCATGTTCAGGGCTTCCTGCCGATTGCCTCCATCTAACTAACAAAGAAACTTTCCACTTCTACAAAATATGCAATCCAAAAAATGGTACAGAATGGAAATTATTTAAAAAGACGAGGATAAAGCGATTCTTGATTAAGATTTTCGCACCATGAAAGTGATGCACCGAAAATCACTACTAAAAGTGGAAGGGCTGAAAAATATCTCACAGATTACTATTGAATTCAAATTTGAAGTTTTTGATTATCAGTCACCAAATCTACAGCTGTGCATTATTACTGCATTATTACATTTTTATGAGCAGTTCCATCTGTTTCTGTTAACTTCTCCAGAATGCTTGAGTGAATCACTAAATAGAAAGTATGAATAGTACACATTTCATACAGACAAAGTATCAGCGTCAGTTTATAAAAAAATCTATTTCCTTTATTATTTGGAATTTTACAATATATTGTTGCAAATGCTATGGACTCACCACTGATTTCGACTAAATGACCAACAGACAAAGCGCCTCGGACTGTATTTGATTGCAGTAATATCACTCAACAACCTCATGCAAGTGTTAGTGCAGTAGACATGTGTATGATGGCTAGTGATATCATTTGACTGAACAGACCTTAGTATATGGAGCACGTTTCAAACCTGCAGAGGAATGGAAATGTAAGAGCTAAATAGGTAAGTGTTCATTTATCACTTGAACATATCTGTTCAAAACCGAGCCTCTATTGATAGGTACCTGTCAGGAAAATCGCATGATACTTACAGCTGCTGTAAACATGTAGACCATCTGAATAAGTCATGTAGAGAAGAAATCAAGACTACGCATTCTGATTGCTTGCTTCTTTGTATCTCTCCGCATTAAGGGTGCGTTTGCTGCTCATTGGAAAACACGAATTGGATAATAATAGATATTGTTCACCCAGTGTCTAAATATGTTCCTCATTATTAGATGTAAACTCACTTTTTAATCGTATAGATATATATTCAGTTTCCTTATCGTGGTTGTAGAGGCAAATTTTGGTGTTTATTTCATTTGCGAAAAGGATCTTATTTGATATTAGACAAATACGCGCCCTGGATTCCTCTTCTAGCCACAACCAACCAAAGTATCATAATTAACACTCAGACAGTATCGAGGCATCCGCGTAGAGGAGCCCATATACCAATAGAGGTTGAATAATTAGATCCAATAAAGCAACGGAGAACTACAAGTTTATCACTAAATAGTATTAGATAAACATTTATTTTATAAAATAATTTTCGACAACCCGGTAAATGAATTTACATAACCTTGTTAGACAGATAAAGACAACGTAGGACGTCGCAAACAAGTGCATCGGTTCAGATTGTCACACTTCACAGTAGTATACGAAGAACCACTGGATAGGAAAGACATATTAAAATAGTCAAAGTTGTATAGGAGGAGAGGGGTTTACAAAGTGAAGTTTAGTCAAAACATTCAAACCTCACAAGACGTCAAGGAGTAAATACACCTGCACCATTTTCACTGATTTTTAACCAACCTTGATATATAACTTCACCAAACAAAATTCATTCCCTCCATCCCTTTTTATTCTGCATCTTGACAGAGGCTTTCTACACCATCAGCATAAATTGTCTACATTGGTAATTTTTAAAATTCATTTTCAATTATCGTAGGTCTAAAACTCAACGTCGTTTACACTGTGCTGTACGCCTAAATGAATTATTACGTGATTATTCTAGTGAATCAGCTTTAGTAATTGTTAATATGCCTGGACCATCGCGTACTATGGGAAGTGAATACTACTATATGGATTATATCGAAACACTAACTGACGGTTTATCACGCATACTGCTTGTTCGTGGAACGGGACGTGAGGTGATCACTGCATTTTCTGAATAAACTCCAATATTCTTTTTGTCTTACTACTGATTTATTTCAGCCTATTGGCATCTTATTGATGATACACAATGCGTAATTGATTTAAAAAAATAAATAATTAGAAACTAGTCAAAAAGCATTATGAATTTTTGTTTTCTTAAGAATTTTTAAATTAAATTATTTTATCTCTTACCGTCTGAAAGCGGAATCCGTTATTGTTTGAATTTTGTCATCGTTTCTTACTCACTAGTATTGTTGGTTTTGTAAAAGTTTTTTCATGATCCAGGTAGTTACATCTGTTCTTCGTTTTTGCTGTCCATTGTTTGAAAGACAATTCAGCAGAATTAAAAATTGTAATTCAAAGTTATCTTGTATTTAAAATAAATAGTATAGTAGTATTTTTGTGCTGTTTGTTTTCATGCCTAGTCCTCTCTCTCCCGCCCTCCTCTTTTGTACTGCTGAAATTTTATAACTATTATGATGATAATTTATGGTTAAGAGGTAAGAATTTGTAAGAACAATAAGATGACTTGGAAAAGCATGCAGATCACCTATATCTTCTGCATTAGAGAATTACATCTGATATTATTGTCATTTCTCTTCTGTCTACATAATTCTTCCTCTTCTTGTTCTCATTCGTATGTATCCTTCTTCTCTTTTCAATTCTGTACCTCATTTTTCCCTCTAACTGTATTCTTTTGAATAAAAACATTTGAGAATCATATTTTCTGTGGGTAGTTGACCTTCAGTACGTACTGGAGATATTATTCTTTCCCTTTATTCTTCATGGATGAGAAGACGAATGAGAGCTAACCGTGTGGAAATGAAGTGGCAGCTATATTCAATTTACCAGGATCACCATGTATGAAGTATAATGCATAAAAAAGTTTTGCAACATCTTACACTTTTGTTTACCGTTTGTTTTTCCACATTGTTCTCCTTCTGTCCTTTACTGAAGTGATTTATTTATTACAAGAAGCAGGAAATTGGATTGTTTATCTTCGTGTTTTCAAGATGGAAAACGAGGCGAAAATAGTCACATCTACTTGTGACAAACCATGCAGTCTTTAAATTATGTCTACTACTTACTATGTTGTTGTTTTCCTTTACTCTACCTCACATATATACACTTCTTTATTTCAAGTTGTGCACAATATCTCAGTCAACCGAATTGATGAGTTAATTTTTTTAGTATTCCTTTTCTCATCATGGCTTTTGTTTAATATCCACCAGTATATACACACAAATTGTGTTATCTTGAAGGCTTGATATGCATAGATTTTAGTGTCATAAATTACTTTTTATTTTGGTGTATCCACCTATGTAGTTTACTATTATACGCCTGTAGAATACTTGGTCAAAAAATCTTAGTAAATGTTTTTCCGATATAAACTGAGTTATACATGTAAACATGCGCCTAAATTTCTTATTCTTCTTCATCTTACACATACACATTGCATCTTACGATATAAAAAGAATTTCAGTTCGAATTCCTTCTGTGTTGTTTCTTCGGGGAAAATAAACTTATTTGTCAAGTTAGAATAATTCTTAGTTCTTTAAGTTGATCACCTCAGTTTGTATTCCTCATCATCCAACAGCACTGTTTCGAATATCCCCCCTTCAAAACATCTTTGTTGCATCATGAATTACCCAAGCGTTATGCTTGTTGAGGTCTTTTTATAACGCGTGTAAGCACATACATTATTTACAGAGGTATACAATTTCCGACATATCAGTCATTCCGAAATGCTGTTTCATCTTTCGCGTAAGTCCATTGCGCTTAGTTGACTACCAAAGCTTCACGATCAAGGGTAAGTAAATGTACAGAACCCTGCCAATCTAGGTAAAGCAGTTAAAGTCAATCAGTCAGCATCAACGTGGGGACTGGCGTTACTGCGTAGCGGCCAGAGTTGCCACACCTCAAAATAGAAGACACCGAGTGAAAGTTAACGCAGTGCAGAAAAAGGCAGTCGAATGGTACAAATTCACCGATTGCAGGGAGGAATTAAAGAATACTGAAATTATGATTATCAAGATACATCAGCGCAACAGATCGATTCTGAGCCATATGACTTAGTCTTTAACTACTAGTTTCCGTTGTCATGCAGACCTCAACTGGGAAGTCTAAATTCTCTCACATGACTCAGACCAACAGTCAGAAACTGATATCGTGTTCAAGTCTGGCCACCTCTAGCCTGACAGTCACCAATGGGCTGTACAGTAATGACTAAGAATATTGAAACTCGCCGTTCTCTTCGTAATCTCTGCTTGCGCATCCTGTAACTGCAGCACGGTTGTAATACGGGATGAGGTCTACCGAAAACTGTCTAGGCTCCTACTGGAATCTAAGCGATCAGACGTGATCGTCTTAGCAGGTGATTTTAATAGGCAAGTGTGCAGGCTATGTTAGGCAGAAAGGCACTTAGGTGGCACTTTCAGAATCCCAGTCGAGCGAACGAATAACGGTGATCACCTGCTACAACTATGCTCAAACAACCATATATTTTCGGCTAACGCGAACTTCAGGTACAAAAACAGACTTTTCCCGACGTGGCATCCTCCAACCTCAACTTCTCAATGGACACACGTAATTCATACAGCTAAGTTATCGTTGGACCGGGTCAGTGGAAGATTGCTGCTCCTTTTGCAGCGAGTGTCTAGACGGCGATCATGTGTTCGTTGCAGCATGTGTCTGCAGCTTAATGGACGTAAGTGGAGCAGAGCGATAAGTAGTTCACGGTATATCTGGATAAAAGGAAATCTAAGGTTGTTTTCAGTGAAACTGGTTAGACAGTTGTCAGTACAAGCCATCACATCCAAAAGCAAATGCACACCAACACAATCTTAATTCGCTTGGCTTGATATCAGTATCGCAAACTTGTTACATAATATCCCATTAAAGTTAATAATATCGACCTAGAATACCTTTCTTTCCATATAAATCTATGGTAATAAATAGGCCATAAATACATCTCTACATTTAGTGGCAACGACTATTTACGCGATCCCGTATATTCCCTTCTGAAATCCTTTTTGTATCCTCTATAGACTACCGTTCTACTCCAGTATAATAAGCCAGAAGGTTACACCAACCTAGTATTCATCGATTACGGATTCCGCATAGAAAAGTGTTCATCATAATGTCTCTCTGTGATAGGACAGTACGATATGAGAACAAAACAACTGTAATTTGAAGACCATAAATTATTCACAATAAGAATAATTTGAGCCGGCAATTTCGATAACCTCTTCAGGCTTTACAGTTACAAATCTGTGAGGATAGGTTAAGTACAATAGCCAAAGTAAGGCATAGTGAAAAATTACTCCAATATCGAAATGGCCAGTGTTATGGGTGAGTGAAGATCGAATTAAATGGAAGTTCTTATCAGGTGGAATAGTAATCAACCTAGTGTTAGGTGTACAATAAAATCACTATGGGCAAAACAATCACGGGATAATGATTCATTTGTATACATTCATTTGCGTTATGAACTTTCGTGTTTGTATGTTGAAGATCAAAACATCGTTGTGTACCGATGAGATATATTGAAGTAGGGTGAAAAACCATGCGAATACAATAGAGAATAACAAATGTGAACGTTGAAAATGACTACTGGTAATGGTATAAATAAGGGGGGGGATCGATCACATGAGAAAATGAATGTTTATGAATGAAATTAGAGAGACAAAGTAGGAAAGAATAGGAATATGAGAGGATAGAATATGAATCTTGTGGGAGAAAAGTTCATAAAGATTGTGTTGATCCCATTGTGAACCAGGATAGACAAGGTGGATACGAGTATTTCTTTTGAACATCTAGATCAGGTTTTCCTTTGCTGATTTCTAAGCCTTCAGCTATGGATGAGGCGTAGTTGTACCCCCTTGGGGAAAGTATATATCACAGAAAAGGTATGGTCGGCTTTGATTTGATGTTCAGTATCTACAAAATGTGAGAAAATTGCACTTCGCCATCACTTTTCTTCACCAAACTGGTGCGTGTTCACTAGTGTGCATAGACAGAGCCATTTGAGTACGGCCTAAATATAACTAGCTCTACAGGAAGAGCTGAACTCATGAATACCCATTGAAGTGGTCATCATTGGTAACTTATCCTTGGCTCGCTGTCAGTAATGGTTTGATTGAGAAACAGGTGAAAAGTTCCGCTGCAATGAATGTCATTTCGACTCGTCTGCTCAGTCGGGGTGTTAAAGTACCAGAGGTAACATTGCCTTTCAAACTCAGTCGAAGATTTAAATATATCTTAGCAACACTATCCTTCTTTATCATCGCTCTATGTTTCAACAAGTACTTATTTATGAAATTAAGTAGATAACTATTTTGTTAGACTGCTGTCTTCAGCTTATCTATTTCCTCATCACTACAGTCATCAAAACATCTATTTCTTATTCTGTAACTCAGGCATCTTATTAGGCTTCTTTTATATTGGGCTGGTGAGAAGCTATAAAAATGCATTTATCAACCACTCCATGTGTTCTTTCCAAAAATATTCCTTTTAATTTATCCATCCTTCTTTTGGTGAGGAGGACCCATAAGGAAGCCTGCTTAAGCTTTAGGCTACCAAAAATCTTCCTCAAAATATAATTCGTGAAATCCTTCCCTTTCGACTTGCTTGAATCTTTAAAATATGTCTTATAAATGTATCATGTATTCTCGCACCTTTTTAAGATATCTTCAAAATATCGTTTCTCAAGCTAAAAACAAAACAAAGAGCGTTACACCGAATGGAAATGGAGTTATAAATGCTCAAAAATATAGCACATTATTACTACTAGGATACCTATATGGAATTGCAGATTTGTATACTGGCTGACTGAACTACCACCATTAAAATTACACTCCATTTTGTGTTCAATCCTGAGACCAAACCAAACACCAGCTGCCTGTTTCACATTAGTGCCTTTTATACTTTTACTGATAACACTATTTCGTTGAAAAATATTGTACAGGGAGTGAATTTTTGGGAATATTGCATGCTGATAACTCCATGCCAGAATAAAGCGATTATCATCACGGCGATATACTATTCTTCCTCACAGGTAAACTTGATGATGGACGTTATTGGAGGTACTCAAAAGGTCGTCTCTGTTGAAGTCATTGTTACAAATGATAAACGTATTATCGACATACCGGCAAAAATAGTCTAGTTTATCAACCGTGTACCGTTTTCAAATTTGGCGGAGAATATATACGCTAGCATTCACACCCAGACAGATTTATATAAATGAATCGTTATCTCTAGATTGTCTCATTATCTCGTAATTGTTTTGCCCATAGTGATTTTATTGTACACCTAACACTAGGCTGTTTACTTATTCCACCTGACAAAAACTTCTATTTGATTCGATCTTCACTCACCCATAACACTGGCCATTTCGATATTGGAGTAATTTTTCACTATGCCTTACTTTGGCTACTGTACTTAACCTATTCTCATGCATTTATAACCGTAGAGCCCGAAGAAGTTACTGAGAAACAACTGTGACTGATAGTCATTTCTACATGCGAGAATGGAAATACAATTCGTGAATGCAACTTCATAGAACCTAAAATCAAAAATATCTAATCTTCACGTTAATTTTATACAACAGGATCAACAATGATATCCATCAGAATAGAAACGTAGTATGACGGTTGCCGAACACTGCAGCAATAATAATATCTACGATACAACCACATCTAAGGTTTCAAACACAAGAAGTTATACGGTCGGTTAGATGTTCAGTAGTTGAATCAGGCAAACACTAAACCAATTTGAAAATGAGGTCATAAACAAGGTGTAGGTGGTGGAGTAATGTATTTTTATTTAAGAACTAGTCAATAATTCCACGATCCTCTGAATTTTTTGAATACCGTGGGTACACGTGGACCATATAAAAACACATAAGGCTTTCAGGAGGAACTGAAGGTATCAGTCATGCAAAACAACTGGCCTAATAACAACTTATTGAGAAAACTAAGGCAGAAGTGACTATGAGATTGCTGAGAACATTTGTAGCTGAGGTGGACGATATTGGCTGTTGCTTTCTCTGGGCTAGATAGCTTGATCGTGAAGCTTTTATTCTCCCTCTACACAACATCAGCACTAACTTCAATATCAATATCTCCCCATGAATGATTCAGCTTTCTTTTTGTTCTTGGTTGATAGATTGGTTCTGTTTATACATCTATTGACTACTGAATGCCAAGCTTCTAGGAATTCACTGATATTCTTTGTATCCTCTGTCCAAGATCTCTAGGTTTTCAAAGTTGAATTCATGACCATAATTATACAACCTACCAACCAATAAGAAAAATGATACACACCTACATGGTCAGGCAGAGAAAAAGCCAACAAGGAAATCTATGCAGTCAACCACACAACAACCAAAGAAAACAGCCTGTCACAAACCGCCTCGTCAGGGCAAACTACAGCTACGCTTTATATTGGAGTTAGTGCTGATGATGTTGTCTAGAAAGATAATGAAAATTTTTAAAAAGTGACTACTGATCATACTTGCCCTAATATACACACTATGCCTCCAAACCAATAATCCAGACTCCCTTATTCCCAAAGATCATTTGAGGAATATATTTGCAAATTACGTTTCAAAAAAAGTTAAGGTTATTCGAATTAAGAAGTAACATTGGAGACTAGCCAAATGACCCCAACGTAACCGGTTAGGTTTCTTTATTTTATCTGAAAAATAGTGCTTTCGTAAAATTGAGAAACCATATTGGTCATTTCAGTATTCGCTCGGATAGCCTTCAAAGTCATTCACTTTCGTGCAGTTTGAAGAAGGCATTCATCTTAATTTGTTCTAAGGTTAATGCAGTACAATGCGTGAACGTCTCAACTGAAATATAATCTGTTGCTTTGGAAAAACTAGTCATTTTCTAAGGCAGAAAAATCGTCATTTGAGGATAATCTAGCTCTAAATTTGCGCGCGCTAACTTCATGCTAAAGTCAAAGTCTATTTATTACCCAACAGACTCATAAGCAAGATTTCTAAAACTGACTGAGGTCACATTTCTACGACTGGTTTAAGAGGAATTTCTCATATTAATTTTTTGACAGAGGCATGGAAGATTAGCAAAGTTCCATATAATTGTTGTTTAAAAGCTCTCTGTAACGAAATAAATATAGTACATTGGGTTGACCGAGGTTCCCAGTTAAAAAGTATTTTACATGGATTTTCAAAACAAAGACAACAAATTCGTCATTCAAGGAGAACACCACTCTCCATATACCTTTTACTGGGAAAAACTCATAATAGTTAAAATCATCGGATAACCCATATTTTACAGGACACTAACGCAAACAAACAACAATACTGAAAGTCCCATGATATTTCTACGAAGTTACAAACACCTCGAGTTTGATTTCAATTAGCTGGTCAATTCTTAAGCTTTTTAGGTTGCCGCTTGTTTACACCGGAGGGAAACAGGCCATAGTTAAACATCACTGCTTCACTCTTTCTAACGATTTCTACTTTATAGGTTACAAATATACAAAGCGTGTTTTTAAGACGCAAACGAGTGACAAGAGAAAATTAAAAAAGGAATACAGTTTTATTGAATGAAAGTCAAGTATACAGAGAATTTACTCATTTTGATTACCAAGTAAGATTGTTCTTATTGCTTCTACTCTTGAAAATAAATGTACGAGTTGAAAGATATACAGCGCGACGATGATTCTCTACTTCATATGGGCTGTCCATGTGAAACTCAAAACAGGTATCAACTAAGGCTGAAATCCAAAAGAAAAATACTAGTTGTCAGTAAAGTGCATGATAAATGTTTCAGTGGATAAAGAGAGAGGTGATCTTACCCAGAACAATTTGAATTACGGAACCCAAGTATTATTTGACGAATCAAAGTGGATTTGATATTTAAACGAGCCTTCTGTGAACCTCTACTACATCAGTAGCGTGCATTATCAACAGAAAAAGAGCTCAAAGTTGCAATTCAGGACAATGATATAGGGCACATATACTACAGTGAATTAATCAGACAAAATGTGCAATTTACTGAAGCTTATTCGTGAATTACAAATGAAATATATCTGCATAATCGTAGTGAAGCAAAAATTGATTTCTGATGTCCTACGACTTAGTGGAAGCCGCTTCGTCAGAGAATAAAACCTGCACAAGTTATTGCATGTTTCAATAGTAAGTGGCGGCACATCAGATCAATTTGTTCATACAGTTATTGGTCTGTGAGTTCAAGGTGAAGACGTGAATGTGTGCATCCGAATGGGTATGAAGGTGGAAGAAAGATATTACAGATGAAGAATTCATCATCATTATCGATAAACATAGGACCAGGCACTACTGAGTAACGGTCCGAGTTGCCACAGCTCACATCAGTTTCTTCGTGTATGTACTTCCGTTATTACTAGTGTATGCAACGTGTTATTCCGGATATACTGTCGTAGTTGATTGGCTTTTCTTTCTCTTGAGTGCGTTAGTAGTCAACAAAATGTGAAAAGCCTCAGCTATCTGTCTTTCTTTATAGTTTGGAAAACCTTTTTGAAGAACTCTAATATTTTCAACGTCAATTTTGTGACGACGATAGATGACACGACCAGTAATTGCCGATTTGACTTGTAAATTCTCTAGTTCTCCAGGATTATTGGGAGGTCATTCTGCGCAACTTGCATGCTCTTTAGCACGAATGAGGATCTCAGAAGAAGCGGCTTCCACGAGGTCGTAGAAAGTCTGAAATTAATTTTTACTTTACTGAGATTTTACGAAACACTTTAGTAGTGAGTATATAGTTTCAGTCAAGAAATAGCATAGTTAGGAATTATAATCACGATTCATAAATCTTAATCCTTTTGTTTGAAAAAACTGTAGAGGACAAGGAAACTCTCATACAGAACTTTGTCGCAATATGATACACATCTGTGAAGAATACTTTGCTTCTGCTGCAAAAACTGATGCGGTAGAGAAAATGACTTAGAACTACCAATACCGTTTGTGTATGTTCCGGTCCGAGAAACGAATAGCGAAATCCCCTTTCACTATCATTGTTTTAGTTGGCAACGGAAAATAACTACTACTGACTTTAAACCGGTACTTATGCAACTGCCTAGTGAGCACGATGCATTATTAAGTGTTTACATTAAAAATAGTATGAAACAGGAAACACTAAATATGCACATTTTCAGCTTGTAGATGTGACACTAATGTGCAGCAACTAGGAAAACACTGACCTTTCAACCAGAGCGTCATGCATAGAATCAGCTGCAGGCACTTTCACATCACCAACCAATTTAAACATTGATTCAATCACCTGGAAAAAAGGAGAAATTGGATTATCCATACTGTTTTTATTTAAAAGGTAATACTTACAAAAGCTCAATGAGTACATCAAACAGTGGATGACAATTTGAATGATGCAAAAGAACTTGGAATGCAACAGACTAACTCACCTGGATTTCTGTACTAGTCGTTTCTAGACCACAAAATGCTGCCCAATCATTGACCACAAGTCCAGCTGCAATAAGTGCACTTCCTCCATTAACACTACCAGCAGTTAATGGAAGTTGAAGAAGGTTACTCAACTGAATCAATTCGTCGACCGTAACTCCTGGATGAACTAAGCCACCTTGGTTTGTCAAGACGCAATATGTTCCGACAAGAGACTGGTTTGCGATGATCCCAGGGAAAACTTCAACACCCAACACATCACTGACCAATTCTGAAGTCTCCTAGTTAATAGAAAAACTAGGCAGTTTTTATGCAATAAAAAGACAATATATCGATAATTTAAAGACTTTAACTGATAGAAAAATTTGTTAGTTGAAGTGTTCATTAATTATCAAGTGTTAAACTTCATTTACCAAATGGAGAACTGAACTCTGACCGGTTTTGTTTGACATATGCACTAATTATCCATACGTAATTAGTCACTATATCACTTTACAAAGAAAACGCCATCCGATATATTCTTTTCTCAAGTAAAACCAACTTAAAACAAAACTATTTCCAACATGAAACATGTTGTAAGATGACGTAAGAAAGGTACGGACTCATGACAGCCCTGAGTAAAACTATACTCCATAAGTTTACTGGTGCCTCTGATGTATAAACACAAAAACTCTTCGACATCTTCCAAAGCTTCAATACCATTTATCTTATATTTTTCCTGCTCTGACATCACACTTTTCTTTTCACCTGTTTTTATGATGATACTATGAAGTGAGTCAACTTGAATTAATGCACTCCTATGAGAAGTTTTACTTTGGTTTTGTCTTTTTCTGCATCATTGTCGCTAGCAAAACTTTTTTTCATATATATCAACATGATGTGGGTAACTGGGGAGCGTTAGTCGCGCTCACAACTCCAAAGTCCCCTAGATCACTATCATTCTCTTACATCTACGCCTTCTAATAATTTTCCACGTCTCTCGGTCAACATTCCTACTCCCTCTTAAATTTCTTCCAGCTGTCGATAACGATTCGAGTTTACGGAAGAGAATTCCTGGTTTTGATACCATCTAGCATTATAATATGTTAAAATGAATTACTGGACAGCCACGGGTAATTTACAGTGTCTTTATTGTGCGATTTGGAAACATTACACCTAAAAAGACAGGTGTAAGTAGGTCATAGTTGAATGGACTATGAGTCTACATTGAATAAAATAGGTGAGGTGTGTACCACCGTATCGACTGCCGAAATGTGATTTGGTGAGAAGAAAAATAACTCAAGTTTTGCCTCATTTCAACAACCGATCTGAATGGTATGATCACAGACTTTTGGAAAGTCATCAGAATAAGTAAGACCGCTAGAGGTTAGGTAATGCAGGGAAACTGAGAAGACGCAGTGGTTCGACGTAACTGACTGATACATCCTTATTTGATACTACTATATTGTTGAAGTATGCTTCCGAGCAGTTGATATTTCCTGACGCCATTGCTAAAAAAGTACCGTGTCCTAAATGAATTTATTCAGATGGTGCCCCCCAGGATTTTTGTGTACCACACTAATTATAAAATTAAAACAAATGAAAAATTATGTACGGCAAAAATAAGCTTTTGGAATGGAGGGGAAATTTCACATACAAAAGAACCACTATGGCATTATGAAGGTAGATACATTTGACGCATCAACTCAAGCCATATACTGCAACCAATTTGACAAGTAAGGTAGTTTGACCACAACGGTATTTTTTAGTTGATTACTCTTAAGTAATTTCAACCACGCTAGAGATCTTCGACTGGTAAAATGATCCAACAAGCGAATGTAAAATAAACCCCTTTATTGTTTAAAATTGTCAGTGCCACCCATTTTTAGCTCAAGCGGATTTGATTCCAGAATGATCTTTACGGTAAATGTAAATTTACTAACATGTTTCTAAATCTTGATCAGCTTATGTTACACTTTTGAGCTCACATTTACTTCGTCTTTATTCCCTGCTAGTAATGCTACTTTTGTTCATTTGCATTACATCTTGTTAACTATCGTCATCATTATCAACATAGAACCAGGCACTACTGAGTAACGGTCCAAGTTGCCACAGTTCAAATCAGTACATCAAGAAAAAAGGCAGTGAGGCGCAAGGTGAAGATAAGAAGATCCAGTCAAAAGAAATATAAAGTACAGAAAGAGAGAGAGGAGGGGTAAGAAAATGGTGAGATTCGGTATAGCGTTAAGATGAGGATAATGTGTGTGTATACATCTGTGTCACTGAAATCGATTCTGAGCCAAATCACCTAGAGTCTCCAACCACTGGTTCCTCTTGCCCCGCGGACCTCAACCGGCTAGTCTACATCGCCCCATATGGCTCAAACCAACAGTCAAAGACTTCATACATTCGTGCCATGCTTTAGTCTGGCCACCTCGGGCCTTTCTCCAGCCTGAACCTACTTCGACAAACATTGTGTGATGAGGCAATCGGCGAACAGGCATAACACATGTCCCAACCATCTTAGTCGATGAAGGTTCACAACCGTGTCAACTGATTTACCTCTTCTCCCTAAAACTACACCTAACGTCTGGGTTACTCACGTGGTGACACCACGAAATACGGCTTATACTACGAAGGCAACGGTGGTCAAACACATCAAGCTTTCTCATGTCTTCCACCTTCAATGGCCATGTTTCACAGCCATACAGTAGAACAGACCGGACTGCTGAGCAGTACACGCGACCCTCAATAGACAATCGGATACCACGGCGGCGCTACAGGTGACGTAAGTTGACAAAAGACAACCGAGCCTTTTGTGTCCGTGAAGAGATTACATCTGCTACTGAGCTAGCCACTAGGGCTGATCCTACTTCCCAGGTAAGTGAAGTGGTTAACACAATCACTTCACTCTCTATTGTTAGCCACGGTGGGGCACCGTTGAAGACCAATCCTGGAGCCACGATTTGCATTTGGGTGGTGAGAAACGAATCCCAAATATTCTCAAATTGACACTCAAAGTGTTCAGAAGACTCTGCATCTTGTCGGCGTCTTCACCCAACATGACTGTCATGTCATCTGCATATTCTAGGTCTAATGAAAATTCACCTGCGATTAGGTCAACATCTGTGTAATCAGGTGACGAGAGGGAGACCTCCATAAGAATATTTATGATAAAATCGAATGAGAATGGAGAGAGTGGACAGCCTTGATGGACACCACTCGATGAGCATAGCTCCCTGGACATCTCACCATAGGCTCTAACACGCCCACAAGTGCCCGGGTAGAGAGCCTTTAATAAGGTGACATACTTACTCGGCACGCCTTTCAGTGATAGACATTGCCATAAGACTACTTGACCAAAGGAGTCGAGTACCGCCTCCTTCAGGTGGAGAAATACAGCTAGTGTCGGGTGTCGGTAAGCTTACCTATGTTCCAGAACCTGGTGCAGTGGGAATATTCGGTCGATTCACCCGCCTCCCACCTCCATCACACGCTTTCATCACGCGCCAGGCCCTCGAGTGGGACCCAGATGGGAAGCGACGAGTTGGGCGTCCGAGGGTGATATGGAGAAGATCGTGAGAAGAGGAAATGAAAGCCAGGTTCAGAAGATTCCAGAGAACAGAGTGCACTGGAGACGTGCTACTGAAGCCCTACGTTCTATTAGGAACCCAAAGGACAAACAATAATAATAATACACCCGCGGCCGGGTTTAGAGCTTGCCTGGTTTTCTCGGGCTTGTTGTTCCTGAGCTCCACTCAGACGTCGAAGAATTATAAAACCTAGAATCTTGGACACTATTTTCGTCAGGCTGATTCCTCTGTGCTTATCACAAGAGGACTTCTCGCCTTTCTTGAATACTGAAATAATCAGTGACTCAGACCAGTCAGAGGGGATCGTATTTGATTCCCATATACTGGTTAACACTTTCGTTAACCTGACTAAGAGCACCTTACCACCACCCTTGTATACATCCGGAGTTAGTCTGTCTGGTCCTGCCGTCCTTCCTCGTTTCAGGTTACCTGCAGCTTTCTCGACTTCTGCTAATGTTGGGGGCCTATCTCAATGTTCCATTCAGGATCCGATTGGATAGCGGTAGACGTAATGGTGGTTGGAGGCCAGTTAAACTGCTCCTCGAAGTGTTCTGTCAATAGATCCAGTCGTCTCCCTGCGAGTGAATCACAGATCCGCCTTTCTCCGCTTTAGCCTCAATAACTATTGTTGATCTTTCCCCCTCCAGTTTCCTTAATAAGTCTAAATAACTGTCAACTGTTACCAATCGCCGCTGTCTTTTCCATCTCTTTAGCCTTCGTTGCCCACCACTGTTCGCAGTCGTTGCGTAGACGTTTCCTCAATCTACTTTTAATTATCGTCAGCTGTAACTGAGTTGTGTCAATCGGAAGGCGGGTCAATAAATGCAGTCAGTGAACATCAACTTGGGACATAGCATTACAACACGACGGCCAGAGTTGCCACACTTCATATAAGTATATCAAGGAAGACGTCAAGATAGAGGAATACAGAAAAAACCAGTGGATAGTCAGCAAGAGAAAATTTTAAAAATCCCGAAATTCGGTATGACGGTTGAAATAAAAAGCATGCGCGGATGCACCGCAGCAACTGAAATTACTAGTTTTTCTTGTCACGGAGACTCAAACTCAGAAGTCTGTATTTCACCACGAGACAGAGACGAGCAATTAGAGACTTCATGGGCTGAAATGTTTTGTTAGTCTGTTCACCATCCTTTTATCAGACTATGAATACCTAATACAGTTGACCTTCCGTGGTGAAGCAGACAGTTACTAGACATGCATAACATGTCTCAGTCACGTCAGTCGGTAAAGGTTCACAACTTCTATAACTGACTTTACTTTCTCCCCAAAACTCTACATCTGATTTCCATATCACTCACTTGGTGACACAACGGTACAACCTACGTTACGAAGGTGATGGGGATTAAATACCCCAAGCCTTTTCATGTCTTCTGCCTTTAACGGCAATATTTCACAACCATGCAGTGGAACAGAGCGAAGTGGAACGCAGTACACTCAATACTTGGTCGGGACTCAGATTTGATGGCAATGCCACAAATGGCTTCAGCTGGCAGAAACCAAATGAGCGGTTTGTATCCATACGGGGATTTTGATAGTCACTGACCCACCATGGATAATCTGACTTCCTAATTAGGTGAAGTGATCAACGCACTCAACTGCTTCACTCCAAAATGTTAGGGGTAGTGAGGAACGCACCTAAGGCGTCCAGAGGGCTTTAGCTATTGCCACCGTCGTCACCCAACAGGACCATGCCATCTACGTACTCTAGATATATCAAGAAGTCTGTAATATGATCAATCCAGGTAAAGTCAGATGACCAGAGGGAGTCCTTTAAAGGTAAGTCTGTGGTAAAATTGAATAAAAATGGAGAGAAGGGCATCCTTAGTGGACACCACTCAATGTACACAGGTCACTTGACAACTCATCACAAGCTCTAACCTGACCTCGGTAGCTCAAATACAGAATCCTCATCAGAGCCATGTACTTAGTTGACACCAGTTTCAGTGACACACTGCCATAAGACCTCGCAACTAACGGATTCGAGAAAAGCCCGGTATCGAGCGTCGGTAAGTGTGCCTGCTTTCTGTTGATCCAGCAGAGGGTGAATATTTGGTCGATACATCCACAAGTAGGTCTAAAACTTACCTAGTTTTCTCGGTTCTGCTGTTCTCAAGCTTCACTCAGATGTCTGACAATTATGGAACCTAGGATCGTTCGTCAGGCTAGTCTTCCTGTGGTCATCGCAAAAGGACTTCATACCTTTCTTGAAGACTGAAAGAACCAGTAACTTAGACCGTTCAGACGGGATCATACCTGACTACTATGTATTAGCTAGCAAGTCATCTAACATCGATAATCCTCGATCAACATTCTTAACTACCAATGAAACTAGTCCATATGACCTTGCCGCCCTCCTTTGGTCCTAGTTACTAACAGCTTCCTCAACTGTAGCAACTTACTGGCCCTATCTCAGTATTCCATCCAGGACCCAGGTGCATAGCCGATAACAGAATGGTAGCTGCGTTACAGCTAAACAGCTTCAAGAAGTAATCTCCTCAGCGAACCAGTTACACATCCATCGTTCTTTGTTACAGTCTCACTGATCATTGATTATTTTTACATAGTTTCTTTGATTAATCGAGAACACTGTCTGTTACCTACCTCCGTTGCTTTTGCCATCTCTTCAGCATTCACTCCCCATGAATGCTCACAGCCAATGCACAAACTCTTTGGTAGTCTACATTCGAGTTGCTTCTGCTCCTTATCATGTTCGGGGCCTGTCGAAAAGCAATTAGATGTATCTATTAGTTCAAAAGACGCTTCCAAGAATCCTTGACCCCTTTCAACCTTTCTGTAAGGATTATTTACAATATTTAGCGGTTCTTACAGAAGATGGGAAACTGTGCGTCATCTTCAGGATGAGTGGTGTTCTTCAGTCTAATCAGTTTCTTGTTAGAGGCAACCTCAGAAGCATAATAGAACTGTAATTGCAATCGGTCCTACTGTCGCAGTTTTTCTGTCCCTTAAGGCGCAGGCATGAGTGCTGGATTGAATGTATGAACACTGTTCAAACATATAATCCAAAGTGAGCAGAATTATTTCACTCATTCTAGCAATATGCGACAGCAATATGCTGTCTTTTCCCACCTTTGAGTTGAAGTCGGTGGAGGTTACATCAAAATATTTTTGTTTTCAAGTTCGGGTAAGCCAGAAATAAATGGCTGTCAGAGAACGGTTATAGCAGGTGATCGCCATTATTCGACGTATAACTCGTAGTCCATTCAACTATGACCTACTTACACCTATCTTTTTAGGCGTAATGTTTGCAAAATCGCACAATAAAGACACAGTGGATTACCCGTGACTTAGTGGCTGTTCAGTAATTCATTTACTCACATGGGATCCTGAAAATGTTTCTATACCTAGTTTGAGCTACTCACTAGTCTATTTAAATCACATGCTGCGAAAACCACACAGGAACGGCCGACCTTCATCAGTTCCCTGTAAAACCCATCCTTCACTTTGTCTGTGCTGTAGTTATTGGGTTTGCAAGCAGAGACCACAAAGATATATGAATTGGAGGATTGAGTGAGGTGAGATTAGAAGGTAGAAATGTAGAAGGCTGATAATGAACTAAGAGAACTTCAGTGTGGTTGACACTTTCCTGCCCCCCATACCTTGAGAAGTTACTTCTTAGCGTGCCTGACAGAGAAATACCAATTAGTGAATGCATTCAGATCCCACAGGGCATCTATCGGAGGCTGGTCACACACTGGCAATTTGGTAGTTTGAATTAAAACTGATCAATTTGCATCCAGCTAGATAACCTATACCACTAGCACCGGAAGGTTGCAAGACAAGGAAAATTGTTCCAGTTTTGAGGTCATTTCCTTCTAGTTCCCCTTTCCGTAGGAACAGCAGTATCAGCACGGACTGGTGGTCATTTGCGGGTAATATCTAACTGCTGTTACATCCACGTCCACCTACCAATAAGATTTCGCCGTCAGACCTCTATCATAGAGGAGCTCTGAGCACTATAACCATTACCATTATTTAACAGACGTTTCTGGTATGGGACCTCAAAAGAATAAATATTCTCACCAGCATGGCTGACTTAGTAATAATGATATACAATCCTGATCACAACGCAAGGTAGCAGCTATCAACCAGATACACCACGAATCGTCCAATAACCACATTTTAATAGAATAAGTAATCGCAATATGTAGATGACAAGCATTGAAGGATAAAGAGAATCTTGAATCTAAGATTCAGGGTGTCGGGAAGTAAATTCACCAAGAGAAGACACGCTATGTTGTCTCTAAACTTTGATAATTTTTCCAACAATCACTCGGTCCAGCCACCTAAGACATAAGTGACTTGCTTTTCGATCGCTTACTCCTGGAAACAAAAGAGAGAAACCCAGTGATCAAATTTTCCAAATCACGAAACAGCGTCAAAAGTATACAACAAAAGATGCCAACGACTTTTCGGCAACAGGAATTCGCAATATTTACAACTCTTACTTTATTCAGATCCGGATGAACTAGAGCCACGTAGTCATTGCATGCCATCGTATTTCCCAGGGCGGACAAGCGCTCGTCTACACGCATCACTTTTACTTTGTCTGGTAACGAATTTGTTAAGTGAAAAAGTTCCTGGTCTGTTGTTGTATGCGGTACTAGAAGACCACGGGTATTACCTAAAAACGAAAAACCTTGAGCTCTTAGATGCAGACAGACGGATTAGACTAGAACTTATTCCATCAAGAAGAAAATTGACGGAATCAAAACATTGTTTTACACTGTGGAGGGGAATTGATAGCAACGAAAAACAACAGATTAGAAGTCCTTTCTAGTCACGATTTTTCTCACGCGTCTAAATTAAGAGCAGGTTAAAGCATGCATCTGAGAAAATGTCTACTTTTATTGACAATATAAACTCAATATATTACGAACACCTAGGAACGTGTCACACAAGTCCACATGAAAATGTTTTCACATAACTTTGTTTGGTACAATAGTGATGCACCACTATTTACTGGAGGATATTCCGAGCACGTTCTTTCACTCACACAAAGATAACAACGTTCCACATGTTACATCTGCGCAAATCAGTGTTTGAAATAAGAAATTTGGATGTTCCGAGCTTCATGGAAATAATATAGGAATCTATTTTAGGGAACTGCCAAGTATAACTAAGTCACTTTCTCTACTTGAAGATGAGGTTAAGGCTTGAAGAGTTGTTCATAATAATGAAAATGGGTTAGTGCTGCAGATTGAATTAAATGAACCGAACGGGAGTTTGGAAATCAGCTTTAGCAAAGTGTCGTGATACATGTTGATAAAGTTTGGCCATCCTTACTTAGTAGGAGGGTCAATATTGCCTTGTGAAAAAGAAACAAAAGTTTCTGGGGGGATGGTCAGCTATAACTTGAAAACGAAACAGTAACGAAGTTGTAACCAAAGGATTTCGTATGGTCTTCAAGTGCTTTGAAGAAGTAGTAGAGACACTATATCATAACGTGAGATCTTAACTCAAATACTCCATACAAACTAGTTCTCGCTTCAAGAAAGCAGACAGTCTGCAAAGGGTTTAAAAGATGGGTACAGTTTGGGTGCGATTATTTCCACATTGTATCTTAGACAAGGTGGAGCCCTTGTATTAGCGCATAGTATTTCACGCTAAGAAGTCATCACAAAAAGGCACAGAAGCAAAGGTTGAATAAACTACAGGTGAAACTCAAATTCCCTCACTGGGTAAACGACTGGAGCCCGTTGTCCAAAATTATGGCATTAGCCTCTCTACTGAACAATTCCTCGGAACGACTACATCCTCACACAGATTTGTACTACCAGGACTATTACAGGATGACTACTGGTCAGCTCAAAAACGGAAAACTGCTGCCCCGAAATAAAAAAAACTGAGGGATAGAAATTCTGACACCAAAACATGTAGAGAATAAGTTTGGCAACACGTACCTACAGTAAGTCTTCCTACGGTCCGAATACCTCCGATTGTTGTATGAACAACAGGAATGAAGTCAGCAAGTTCAGCCTCGAATACACTACGAAGTAAGCTTCGATTGAAAGATTGTACCTGTAGAAACTCTCAGAACCTCCAACAGAAACCAGGCAATAGTTGTTTGTTAGCTTTGAAAAAACACCTATTTCATTATGCCCCTCGAAATGTGTTCTTAATGCCATTTCTGAATCACACGCTGTGGTGTGCCGAAATACGCGCGTACAGAAGACACTTTCGAAAACCCCCAACCAAACTTAAAGCCAGTGTTCTTCGCTATTTGACGGGAAGTTGTAGCGCCCAGCTGCCTCGTCCACCAGTTTACTGCAAAAGCGGAGGTTGACAGACAACCAATAACTTTAATCTGTGTTATAGTTAAGTCTCTAATCTTGCTACTTTATTATCAGACGATAAAAGTTTGCTTCTTCATGTCTGTGCCTTGTAGCCTTAACATGAATAACGTTATCGTTGCCGTAAACAAACCAGTCCATGAAGCTAAGAAATCAAAAGTTTCGAATCCATCACTGGGGCTGAAAACAGTTTATTTGCTAACGGTCCTTCTGTCTATCTGTCTTACGTCATGACTGACGTGTATAATTGACAACGGTAATGCGATTGCTGATCTTCAGCGTAACTAGACTGTCTTACAGCTCTGATTTGCCCACTCACCCCCACAACGGTCTTATCAGTGAATAACCTTTTCAAGTATGAAACACTAGTGAACTTCGTACCACTGAAGCCAGTAAACGATTGACTTGTCGCATGACTCCATCGTCCTCGATGTCCTCGATAGTTTTCCATCAAAACGTGTTCAAAATGATGTCTTCCAAGCCTGTGGTCTGCATGAATCTGTTTGCGCAGTCCGGCGCCTTAAGAGGAGGACCAGTAAGTGCCCCTGCCCAATATTGTTCCAGTTTATCTCACTCATTTATGAGACACTTTTGTGGTTCACCGAGGTCTGTTAGACTCTTAAGAAGCTGTGAGAATGTTGAGGTACTTCCAGATCTTACCCCCTGTCAACGACGGACACGTGGTTCGAAACCTTATGAAGTTCTTTCTGGAAACTTCATCAGAACCTATGGCCACCTGAAGCGTACTGGCGACTGGGAGTCAGCACATTACACAAGACGACATCGTAGGTGCAGATCAACGAAAGCTAACCGAGCACACTGTTGCAAGTACATCAGTTGCTACTGTTTCACCATCCAACATGGTAGTAAACACCAAAACTGAAGGTCAAATCTCCACAGTTATGCAGCTTTATTCTCAGATGATGTTGGTATGGATGGCAACGGTAATGGTACTTCTGATATGCTCCTGATCCCTCTGAGTTTACCGGCGAAACTTGCATCTCCCAGGTGCAATTATGCTGATAAGACTTTCCCGCCCTCAAGCCTCTCAAATACGATGTTGACCTCTAGTTATACTGACAATACACAGTCACAAAGTGCCACGTTTCGGAGATCCGAACCTAAAAGCCCTAGTTAGGGCATACTGTCGAAGCTAATGGCACAGAAATGCCTTAGCCATCCCCGAAATAATTATATCCAGTCTGTTAAAACCTAGTGGTTATAACACCATTCAAAGAGTGACCCCGTTTCCTCACACAGACTCATTCACGACGTCCACCGGTACGACATCAAGCACTGCGGAACCTTCGCTAACCATCAGAAAGGTAGGATTCATACACCGAGGCGGTAAAAAGAAAGGGTACGTGCGTAAAAATGTTCAGAACACAAATGCCTTCCATAGTCAAGAAACCAAGGGCTAAGGAGAAACAACAGGTTTTTCTCCTCACAACCATCTACACAACATTCAACTCTAGTGCATGCTCGCCCTAGTACAAAGATACGCCTCCTAATTGTAGGCATGCCATTCGGACACAGCCCGTGATACTGCCTCCCCAACATAATGCACCCTAACCTTTCCCACGCAGAAGTGAAACCACGGATTTACTTGGCTCGTTTCCGCAGACATCCATACCCAGGGCTCATACTGAAAACCTGAATCTTCGCGGGCTTCAAAAATTATTGGAGCTTTTTGCTGTTCAGATGAGGACGCCGTTGAGTCAGCTACTTCCGACCCTAACTCACAATCGCTACAGTGGCAGGGAAGATGTTACACCAACTTGTCATCCTCTCTGCTCATATGCGGTGGGTCAGCACCTAACACAATAAAGGATGGTATTAGTAGCAACCCAGTTACGTCCATTCCCCTATTATGCCCCGAAATTAAATTCCACTCCATGTTTTTCACCAGTGCAGTTCAACCTGACCTGTGGGAACAAGCTTTCCGAAAACAGGTTCAAGTACTTTGACTTTCTGTCTGATTAACGCCTGTCCATGCGCAACAAAATAAGTGAGATCACTATGTTGTCGATTATGTCTAACCCTTGCCTAATATTTATCAACGAGGCTTGGTGTGCTTCAGACACTCCTGATAGTGATATCACTGTTGACGGTTATGCTCTGTTTAGGGGAGATAGACATGATAGTAGAGGTGGTGGTTGCATTATTTATAAGAGGTCCGACTGTCCTTGACAAATTGCTCAGTACTTCCGCTCAGTAACTCCACGTGGGCTGTTGCGAAGTTTCCAAATGCTATGACTATCCTCTTGGGGTGTATCTACCTTCCCTTTGCTTTACTGAAGATTATGATGACAGGCTCGCAGAAGGGTTCACTCATGTAACGACAGTACCCTATCCCGCGAAACTTATATGCGGAGACTTCAATATGCCTGACGTCAAGTGGCAGTCCCTTACTTCCCCTAGGCGGTTTGATAATTTCAATAATGTGCTGGATTCCGGAGGATGGCTCCAACATGTAGTGCAACCAACTAGACATAATAGCATACTTGACCTCGTTCTCACCAGCGGGTTATTGCCTTACACTCTTGAAGTCGGTCCAGAATTCCCGGGCAGCGATCACAGAGTAGTGTTTGGTGACTTCCGACCATCTCCCAGTACTACGTCAGCTCCTAGAACAAAAACAACCACAGTTGGAAGATATAAAAATACCATCTGGGAAGAGATGCAGTACATGCGATGCTTGGACTGGGGTTCTTATTTCACCAGCAGCTCAACCCACGATCTGAGTGATATCTTCAACAGTTCCATAAACGTAATTCAAGATCACATTGCTCCGGAGGTATCGGCAGTAATTTCATCCCAGAAAACCTACGTATCAGCATGCGCAGACATGCCAGAAATTTCTGTCGACCTAATGACTTTTCATCCCTTGTCTCATTAAAAACCTCTCATGGGATATTTAAACCAAGTAAGTTATTAAAGCAATCAAGCAAGAAAGTAGCTGCAGCGTACAAACAAGCAATGTTCAGTCATGAGTGCGAATTCTAAAATCCCGTGCAAACTTATCTAGAGTTATTCCCAGTAGTCTGATCATTGATGGAGACATTCTTCATGATGATCCAAGTAAGATCTGTGAGCTGTTTGGTAAACATTCTGCAAGCTGTCTCACGCATGAAGATAGTGTGCTAAACATACAAATGCCCATTCCACCACACCACTCTCTAAGTAATGTCTCCTTTACACCGGGAAAGATAGCTGATGCAGTTGCTTCACTAAGGGACTCATATGCAGCCGGACACGATGGGATCCCGTCTATTCTCCTTAGGAAGGGCTGCGAAGGCATACCATTGGTCCCCGAAAAGCTATTCTCAATATCCCTTAATAAGATATGCTACCCCGGCAGCTGGAAGCTGTCATACATATCTCACACACATAAACCTGGGCCGACGTCGGATATTCAAAATTATCGTCCCATAAATTTTACATCCGTAGCCTCTCGTATCATGGAGGTGGTTGTGCAAGAAATTACTGATTACGTGGCTGCGCCTCAACTACTTTACCCTATGCAGCACAGTTTCTTAAGAGGCCGTTCGTGTAGTACTTGCTTAGTGGATTATTCTGAAGAGGTCACCTGCAGACGAGACGAGGCCCTTTCATAACTGTTCTTTTGTTGACTTCGAAAAAGCATTCGGCAAAGTGCCTCATGATCGGTTAATTCTTAAGTTTCAGTCATTTGGAATTAGTGACCTTCTATCATAGCGGATAAGCTCATTCCTTAGACAGCGTACCCAGATAGTAAAGTTCAGTCGCGCCTATTCCTCCCCACAGCCTATTTCTAGTGGCGTCATTCAAGGTAGTGTGCTGGGGCTCTTACTCTTCCTTCTTTACATGAACGATATTTTTAAGGTGTTAAAATGTGGTAAACCCTACCTGTTTGCTGGCGACTTAAAAATTGTGTGCAGCTCCCCCACTCATCACTAAGTGAGGGTTTTAATAGAATCCAGGAAGACTTGACGTATTTGCTCGCTTGGAGTGAAACATGGCAACTTCAGCTTAACTCTAGTAAATGCGGAATTCTCTGTTTCAATAACTCCTATCCAAAAGTCAGTTTACACCTTGGCGATTTCGCGCTGCAATCTTATAGCTCAGTGTGTGACTTAGGTATTCTCAGAACTTAACGTTTACGGAGCATCCCCAGTCTCTCAAGTTATGGAATAAACTCCCACATTGTATTCGCCCTTGGTGGTCCCGTTTCAGTTTCAACATCTACCCAACGAATTTTTCTTTTCCCAGACATCCATAAATTTTTTGAAATTCATGCTATATCCGAAAATACGAGGCCTAGTGGAGCGATTGGCACATAACAGTGGTCGGGCCATTGCGTCCACTATGAACGTACTCAGACCTCTAAACGTATGAATCGGAGTTATTAAAGTCCTCCAGTTCCTTTATTGCAGATGGCTTTAGGGTTGAATGCAAAAGTAAGAACACTGGCTCATCTCCGCATAATGAACCTAATGAATACCGTTTTCCTCTCAAGGCCACTGCGTCACACCCCAAATATAGAAAATTTTAGGAACCTTATAATAGAAAAACTATGTAGTTGACTTCACATATATACATGAAAATGTGCATAATGTCCAAATGAGTCAAAAGAATGGGGACTTCTCCCTTCTCCAAGTTTGATAGCGTGGTAATTTCTTTTTCCATATCTGCTCGTCCTTTTCTTTCTTTCCCATTTGCAGAAACCACTCCATGTCGACATCTGGCGTTGAAATTCAGTCTGGACATAATCGCTTTGTGGAAATAATATCTGCTCACCGACCCCAGTAATTATTGGACTGCTCCCAATCTTTCGCGAATTCTAGACCATACTC